CTTCTTTCTAACTCCAACGCGTCCTTTAACCGAATGATTTTCGGTACACGATTGAAATATCACTTCGTTTACAAAGTAATTAGAATTTGGTATGCATACTCGAAGCTGTGTATATGTATGTAAAACTACTAAAAAATAATGTCACCGACGATAAATACAGGATAGTGCAATTTTACTCCGGACAGCCTGACCCACATTCAGGTGATTATTTGAGATTATTACGTGTCTTCAAAAATTACGTCCAATACCTTTCCCCGCTAGTTTTAAAAAGCTGAAGAAAGAATAGCTTTGACACATTATTACATCCCGCCGTGAGCTTCAGAAAGTTAGCTACTTTTTATCGGTTAGACCCATTATCCTCTGACGTATTATACCCTCTACTGTAGGCAGATCTTACCTCAACGCGTAAATCTTCTTATCCTCTTCGCTTTTTTAGATTACGTATTCAATTACATTAAAACCTTTGAGACACGAATTTATTAACAACTACAGACCTAAGAGTTCTAAGCAAAGAAGGACAGAGCTGATATAAATATTCTATCCTTTCGTATTGTAAAATCAAAGGTAAACTTCCACTTTTATTTATACGTTCTCAGGAAATGAATATGAACACGTGTATGTATACAGTTTTGGGACACCCTGTATGTATGTCTGTACACATGCCTTCTTTAACAAACTTGAAATTTCTTTTATACCAATTAGTATTGTTTTCAGTGGGTGGTCATTATCGGTTCGTTTCATCTTCGCGTGCTAATTCCGTTCCCCATTCTATCACCGGGATCAGATAAGACCTTTAAAGAACGCGCAGGAAACACGCGGGCAACTTTTCGTTCCCCGGTTAATAACGGATTTTCGGTTTTCCGCGATTAAACGCGAACCGAACTGTAATTGCCGAGCGACTGGCTTCAACCCCGTCGCGGCGACTTCCCGCGCGCGGACTGAGGCTTCCGCGGTATTGGCGATTTTTTCAAAAACGATCGTTTACACTCGCCGGGGCGGCAATTTCCCACGCATCGGCGCATCCGTCCCTTCGCATTAAACACGAGCCGCGTTCCCAGTCGCTGAAATGTTTATTCCTCAGCGGCATTTTGTGAAACCGAGTAAAAAAAATAAAAACTGCCACTTGGACATTTCGAATCCTCGTGAAAGCTGCGCGTATGCGACAGACCTGTCATGAGTCTGCACGTTTCGATAATGTTCCTAAGGATTTATGCGGTGAACGATGAACCGTATTCAGAGAATTCCGATGCATCCGTTGATTTATGGATTTATATAACACTTTTGTTTCACGCTGTTAATATTCAAGGTATTTATGAAGATCTAGCATTCAGAGGTTTTTAATATGGTCACTGATTTATGAATCGGCTTTTTGTATTAATAATATTTTCATCTGGAGCGGTGGAAAGTATTCAGAATTTATTAACGCGTTAGCCTTTTATATCAGCACAACGATCTTACAGTTGTATGCATTCCATGTAATTTTAATTGAACCTCAGGAATCAGCAGTGCTACGAAAATTGAAATACAATGCAACGGTAGTATAAATGTCTATCATAATTAACCAACCAGCTGGCGTTCCCGGTGTTAATAGCATAAATTAAATTAGCCCGGTTTTATTTTGCCATATTTCGAGGCGTATTAATATCAATTATGGCCGCGATGCACCGCGAGTCGGAAACGCGGTTTCAAAGGAAAAATTAACCGGACCAGTTCCCGCGGTAAATAGGTGCCCGGTCGGATACACGCGCCTAGGTGGCAGACACGCTGCGTTCAATGCACGGTATCACCCTCCCGTTTTTATAATTAAACAAACTTTTCCTGGAAATTCTTGCACCTGTGAAGAAAACCCGCCGTCCCATTCACCGTTCCTGCTTTCACCTAATTTCAATCCGCGGCCGGTTTCCAATTTTTTTCATGCCGCAGCTGGATTCCCGCGGCGTCGACGGCCGAAAGATCGTAGCCGCGACAAGTCGACCGGCACCGAAACATAATTCGTCAAGGGAACTGTTCTTCAGCTTCTGAGTAACTAGGTTAAATACTGACTCAGACGTTCCTTTCCCATCGTAACAGCGAGGATTCCCCGCAACTAAATGCAGCGGGTTCTCTGCATTAAATAGACGGGCCTCCCTTTTCATCCAGCTCGCCCATTCAATCTATAGTATAACCGATGGATTTCGCTCGATATTATCCGTTTCCAAGGATTTCTAGAGATTCACATCCAGCGAATCTCTGCCCCTTCATCGGATAAATCATCGAGCTCGACCGACCGTTAATGCACTTTATACAGCTTCCCTCGCCAGTCATCCCGGCGTTCACGGAGTCACAAAGAAAGATAAACCGGTGTTTACTACATCCTCACCACTTTTCACGTATAGCTAAGTAAGTTGTCCAAATCTTTGCGCTTGGTGAACGTTCGTATGCAGACTGATTACCCTCATGTGCAGCAAAAATAGTTCGTACAGTAGCAAAGGTTAAAACTGACTGAAGTAAACCTCCAGAATGTATTTAAAACGGAACCTAAAGCGCATATAATGGGATAAAAGCAATTTTTATATGAAATTTGGATTCAATTTTTTTTATAAATATCGTCTTTATAATTTTGAGTTACACTGCGTTTGCATACAGTTTTATTTGCAGAGTTCTATGTCTCTACCATAAAGATTCTTTTGGTGCAAAAACAATTTTTTATCACGTACAAATCCTCCTCCATTTATTTCTAAGTGCATTCCGGTCGCGTCGAGGTTAATTAAATTGAAAATGATTTATGGGGTGGTATATTTTTCCGTGTCACGGACGCTTTATCCATTTGATTTGTTATTGCGCTAGGATTGCGTCAATTTCTCATATTTTCTCTATTACCCGGTGCAGTTGAACCCCTGCTCCCGTTCCATTTCGCGTTAAACAAACGATATTGATTTGAGAACGTCTCATGAAATATTTGAACCGGAGACGCCTAAGTATCCCGATTGCTGTTGCAATAAATAAACAAGTAATAAATTTCACAATTCAAATTAAATTAGAATACGTATTGCGATATAAAAATTAACTGTTTCCCAGGTTTTTTCTATTCTAGAAATTTATGAACCGTGCTAAATTTTATTAATACATTTTATACACTATCACGTATCCTATGAGTGTAACAGTATTATATCCCAGTTTGGCAGATTTCCGATCTAAAATTTACATTTAATTTTGAGTGAACTAAACTTTAACTCAACTTTCTGAACAGCAACTTTCACGTTTATACATATCTGCTTGGTGAAGTAACATTGAAAAGCTTTTAAGCAGTGCTTATCCGACTTATGTTCTCATTCTGTTATATCAAACTCATTAAAATTTGAACATCACACACACACACACACACACACACACATAAATATGATTTGTATATTATTGATTCAAATGTACGTATATACAATGGACCAAAAAACTATCTATCAGTGTAGTTGAAAAATGTTAATTCCAACTCCAAGTTAAAAGAGTGGCATGAATTTGCATATTTCATGCAACTTGCTTGTTTTCGCACTTGCCAGGCTAATTATCCAACAAGCTTCGGTAACAAACGTAGTTAGCGCGAACTAGGCAAGCTACAAGGTGCCGTATTACCAACAAATTAATTATGCAGCAAAAGCTTTGCGCAACGCTCAATAATGAGCAAAACTTTCTTCTTAAGGGTTGAGCTATTACGGCATGTCGTTAACGCGAAGACGACGACGGTCAGGTAGTCGCTCAAGCAACGTAACGTTTCGTGAGCTATTCAAATAGGCGACGAAGACTCGAGAAATTAATACGTATTGGCTTGCATTTGGGATTGTATCTTACCTCCCGCTAGGATCAATAATTCCTTGGAACGCGATCAACGTTTAATTATCGTTTATCGATTCGAAACCAGTGTCGTTCCTCGTTAACCCACGGGCGATTAATACCGGACGAATTTGGCCTCGATACAGTCCCACGGGATCTTCAATTCAATTTCGTTAAACGCGATCATTCGTACGCCGGTATAAATAAATTCAATTGTGTGCAATAATGCATTAGGTATAAAAGTAAATGTTTCTACAATTCGATTTGTATTTCGAATATGCAGAAGGTTAAAAACTGTACAAAATATGCATAAGGTAGCTCGCTAGTTTTCTACATGATTTCATAAAGAATTGGTCTTACGAAAAGAAACCTGTCGTAAGTATCGTGTTCAGAATTTAAGAGACGACTACGATATTTATCTGTGGTATCTGCGGTGTACAAACGTTTTAAATGCAGCGGCGTTTGAAAAATATTTACGCGAATTTCGAATTCCAGGGGACAATCGATAAAACGGCAGGTTTGCAAAAATTTCCCTGTTTTCGTTAACCGCGTAGGATTCCCGATACCGGTTTTCCTTTCACATAGATGACGACGTACCATAAATCCACAATGTAGCATGTGTAACCAATGGCGTAGCCGAGATCGGTAGAATATATTTCGATTGCTGACACCGCTGCAGTATCATTTCTCCTTATGTAGTACTATATCGTAGAATATATTTCAAGAGAACGTATGCTCCATACGAACTTTTTGCAAATTTCATTGTGCGCAATTATAATTATATTAAATCTTTGAAAAACGTAAGTAATAAAACTCGATCGTTCGACTCCGGCGTGACTTCGTACGTTATCTTCATGGGACTCGTGATAACGAACCTCTAAGGCAGTGGCGATGATCGAGGCGAGTCCTCCTGTTGAAATCGGGAGGATAAGGACCTTGTCCAGAAATATAAAGAGGCTGGCTTAGTCCCCGCTTGACCCGCTTACGTTAACTCGGTCCATTCACCGATGGGTCGTCGCCGCGGCGAGTTTCGAGCACTTTGCAAACTTTAGCGCGTTCCTAGGTGGGTTCTAAGTATAAGTAGCAGTAAGCAAGTAAGTAACTAAGTAAGTAAGCAAGCGTGTATACCGCGTGGGCGGTTACGTAAAGTGTGACGGCAGACGGGATACTCAAGATGAGAACCTTTCGTGTTGCAGATTTACCCAGGTTCGGCAAACCGTTGAACAACCTGACAGTCTCCGTGGGCCGCGAAGCCATTTTTACCTGCCACGTGGAAAATCTTGGCCCGTACAAGGTGAGACGACCCGCGACTCCTCCAACATCCCTATTTTCACGCGCCGCTGCGACCGTTTTGCAATTACCACCACCCGCCTCTGTTACGTATGTACACAACGTACACACGGGCATGAATGCCGTCGCCTCGCAGCTACTTTTTTTTTCACATTTTTCACGGACTGAAATGTCTCAAGGACCGTTCCATAAAATGAGCGCTATTAAACGAGGAAATAAGAACATATTTCTGCACATATTATTCTTCGTGTTTTTTTGCTACTGTTGAAAATATTTGCGAGATTAAAAATATGATCGATATTAGACTGGATGTTTATCCTGTGTAATTACGAAACGATGTTTTAGTCGGACGTTTCATTATCAAGAATCTCACGAGACCATTTAAACGTGAACGAAATTAGAATAGAGACTCTGTAGCCAATTTCATCGCTCGGCATAGGAGAGGCGAGATTTGCTCGAAGGAAAACGGGTTGGAAAACAAACAAAAGTAGATGAGAAGTCGAGGTCAGAGATAGAGAGAGACAAAGCCTGACAAACGTTACAAATAAATTCGGAGCCGGGAGTTCCGGTAGAAATCCGTATCCAATGCGTATCTCGGCAACTCCATTTAAGTAGAAATAAAATCCCGCGAGGTGTGAGTTCAGCAGTTTGTTAAGTGGTTCCTCCCGCTGGCGTCCCGCGCGATCCATTCGCCGCCAACACTTTTATCCGTCTCCATTCCTTTTTATTTTCCCCACTTTCCCTGAGAGGGAACGCTGCGCCCTGTCCCTCCCAAAGGCGTACCGTTCGATTCGACTAACCCTCTTAACAGACGGGCGACTCTGTCGTCTCGGGCCAACCGCAAGGATACGAGTTATAGCTTCCCTGATAGAGGTGCCCCGGCGCCACCGCGGAGCTCGTGTTTTCCCAATAAAAATGCGCAGAAATTGTTTTATGGCCCGGCACGTGTGGCCCGGAATGGAATCGATGCATTATCTTTACGCCGTTGGTCAACGACGTCCGATCGGAAATGAAACCATCGAAATATGCTCGACGTTACCGAAATAAAACAGGAGGCAAAAGAAAGCCGTAGAGGAATATGAAAAAAAGAGTTCAGATGAACGTCGGGGGGGAGGAGGATGAAATAGAAACGAGTGCCACTTGACGAGCACAAAGAGAGCCGCGCTTTCAATATAAATCGATGAAGCTCCAGCACGAAATTAACGTGTTCGATCGCGAGCAGTCTCGGTTCTTTGAAATTCGGCACGGCAATTGTATCGATGGCCGGGCCTGTCGATACAAATTCGATTAACCCGACGACGTAGTAATTATCAAAGTTAAAATCGGTGCGCGAAAGGAGCGCTACGAAGCGCGGGTTATACATATTTACCGGTTGCCTAACGAATCACGCGACGCGTTCGAGGGCAGCAGAATTTTGCGCGGTTAAACTAACTGCCACCCTCGTGGAAGTTAATCTTCCGCTTCCAGATGATAATTGCCGGCAGCAGCCAGCGCAGCGAGCGAAGTTTATGATGACTTTATCGAATATTCGACGCGGCCGTGTCACCGCTCCTTGCTGACTCCTTTCCGGCAGACGAGATTATGTTGCCGCCTCGTCGTCTACGCCAATTTCTAAAGTAATCAAAAGCCGAGATACTTAGCCTGATGTATTATTTGCTCCTCGTCTCATCGCCGAATTTAACTTTGCTTATCGGCGACTAATTACTGTTCAGATACTTAACGCATCCTGTACGATCGTTACTACTAGGACGTAATGTTTGATGTCGAACAGAAAAATTAATTTAAAAATTGTCGAATTTCTCGTTCAACATTAATTTCGTCAAATGCAACAACTTCGTTCACAATCAATTCTATAAAGACAGCATGTAATATATTACTTTCCATATCAAATTCCAACGAACTTTGAATTTTGAACAAACCAGTTTTAAATGAAGTTTTCGTCAGGCGAACGAAACGGCGATATTTAATAAATAGCTACGCTCTTTTTTCGCAATCTGGCTGACATCCGTGAAAATATCACAACGAGACGAAACAGTTTACGCGTTATCCAAAGCTGGACGAGGAATTTTAAAATTTCATTAAAGAGTCGAAATTACTTCCTGCGGAAGCGAGGTACCGTCGCGCCGGAATCGAGACTCTAACAACCCTCCGCACTGGTTTGCGTATTTTTACGGCTCTAAACTTAATTGAAGTTGGAACCCTCGAAATTTGTCGGTGCTTGCGAGATTAGCATCGGGCGAATGTTTTTTTCCCTTCTCTTACCGTTCAAATAATCATGCTCGCTCGAGCTTCCTGCTTCCCACTATTCAGCGATTTAACTAATGCGAGTTAGGAATTTTATCACTACTTGCCCGCTTTTTCAATGACGCCGGCAAACACGGAATTATATTGTGAAATCGTTATGGTATCTCAACAATAATTAACTTGTGCAATTGAGTAATACGACTATTCAATGCATATTTTAGTTACGTTTTAACGATTCCTTCAAATCTGTCTTCGTACTATCTCTCTTACTACACTTTCACGTTTCGCGTCGTTTACTCCCTTAATTGTTTTACAAACCGTATTTGCATCATCCGTTTGGCATTTGTAGTCACGTTCGGAATACTTTATATTTACTGCATTGCCTAGAGAAGTGAAAGGCAGCACGCTTTGCATTTCAACAAATCTCCTGATTCTCTTTTATTGTTTACCGCGTAATGGCGAGTGCGAGGTTCATTTCTTCCCGCGTTCCGTTTCAACAAAGCGCCGGCTTCGCTTCTACGGTATTTAAAACGGAGTACCACAAATGCATATGCATGCTCGGCAATGAATAAAAACTGTAAATTGCAGCGCAAACAATTTAATTTCCTTTGTCACTTGACAAAAACGCCTATGAGAATCCTGAGAGACATAGAGAGCCCAAACGTACGTTCGCGGATGCTTTTGCAAATTCCATCTTTGCGTAATCAACCAGCAGAATGTCACTTTTAATGGAAATTTGTTTCGAGTACGAATGAATGCGTACATTTCACACATTTTCCAATACTGTACTTCACTGCTGTACGCAATTTGCATTGTTTGTAAATTCAGATTGTCTATAAATTGACGTCTGAAATTTGCCTGCCTTTGTATTCACAATTTGTATTACTATATGTTTCTTGTTTCCGATTTCCAATCTGTACAATGTATTATCGGATTCATTTTACATTTTTCTGCCGCTTGATTTTAATTCCTTTCGTGTTTGCATTTAAATACATATAGAGAGAAGAGTCTTTTAGATATCATTTATTAATCGCATGGAATAAAGGAGACGCGAAGGAACTCGGTTTCCGGAAAGCCGCAGTCAGATTTTTGTTCGGAAACTATGCAGGAAATAGCCGGGTACCGATGGCCAAGACGTTGGAGCGGTTGATGCGAAAGTTCCGCGGGACAAACGGGACGTTCATGCTCGTTGACAAAACGTCCATACGTTCAGTCGCGACTGCCCCATCAGATTACCGGTTTGATCTCGCAAGAGCCAAGCCAAGTTTGCCAAATGGTCGCATACCGTTCCGCTGTTCCGCTTCCAGCGTGCAGCGAATATACGGAACCGTAATGCAGTTTTCGCGATCGCAACTTTATCGACCCGGGGATCGAGTGCCAAGTATTCGCCTGCATGCGAATTCCTGGCCGGTATAGCGAACGAGTTCTCTGCTCCCCGATTCCTACAGAGAGTCTATCGCGTGCTGTTTAATCCAAATACGTGCGATCATCTCCGATTTGTATTCCCGAGGACTGAGAGGAATTTCAAATTGAGAGACCAACGCCCGTGCATCGAAAAGACGTTCTCGCAGCGATGAAATTAGTGAACGAGGTCGGCGAACCGCGTGCAAATTATTTAAATTCCTTTCGTTACCATATTTCACGAAACAGCGTCAAGCAATCTGTTGTTTAGATTCTGACGTTGCAGAAAAAGAAACTGCATTTAATGAGAAACTTACATTCATAGAATGTTTGATGACATACAAAACGGAATTAAAGAAATTACGAAACTTTTTACAAAATTATTGCAGACAAACTAAAGTTAAAGGAGACTTGTATTATTTATATGAAGCAGAGAATAGTAGCAGTGACTTCTCGGCTGATAGTAGAAAAGCTCATTGTGTGGTATCATCGCGAGACTGCGATTTTCAAGCGCGCACCGAGCCATTATTCCACACCATTGGTTGTATTTGAAGTAAAAATAAATGTAAATGAGATGTAATATTTAAAAAATGTTCGAGATGAAATGATCAGGCTTTTCTATACTCACTCTGAATACAGTATATTCTAGATGTCAAAAATTGCCTACTTTTTTCCGCATGCCACTCTTTAGCAATCTCACCTCGGTGAAATTCGCGGCTGCAGGTAATGCGTAATGTTAACGTCGGAGTATGGCGTGCAAGCACGAAATGTCCGGTACATATTCAATGAGCCGCGGCGAGCGTAATGGGAACGATCGAACGGACGGAGGAGTTCGAGCGACGGTCGAAATACGAATAAATTAATCGGAGATATAAACGATAACAACGCTGTCCTTTTTCTTACGAACTCTGCTACTTTAATGGATCGTTTGGTGCGAGATAATAAAATGAACGATAAATGTGCATGGAATAATTCCAAGTTTTAAGTTCCACGGAATATCAAGAGATATCAGCCTTGTAACTTTTCAAGTTAATAAGAAAAAATTAGATAAGTTCAAATCATAAACATAACGCTGCTATTAAGAGAACATCTCTTTTAATTAAAGTCGTTCAAATAATCGTAAAACTTATTGTAACTCTTCTCTAAAAACATTTCTATTTCACTTTCTCAATCCTATAACTGACCGTCATTTCTTCACGCTTAGGGCAAATTGTCTGAGCACTCGAGCTCGAGGATCATCCATTAGAACACGGTTTGATTCCCGCTAAATGGCGAGGACTATTAAGAATCTGTAATTAGCGTAAGATCTCGAGGCAGGTAGACGCATGATTTCCGACGCGTGTCTGAATCCGCCGACCG